AATTATAGCCGGGGAGGGTCACCTCTTATCCTTTTTTCTTTTTAAAGATTGGCGCCTGAGCTAACAACTGTTGCCAATCTTTTTTTTTTTTTCCTGCTTTTTCTCCCCAAATCCCCCCAATATATAGTTATATATTCTAGTTGTAGGTCCTTCTAGTTGTGGCATGTGGGACCCTGCCTCAGTGTGACCTGCTGAGCGGTGCCATGTCCGTGCCCAGGATCCGAACCAGTGAAACCCTGGGCCGCCGAAGTGGAGCACGCAAACTTAACCATTCGGGGACAGGGCCGGCCCCTAACCTCTTATCCTGGACAAGACCTCCTTTGACTGACTTCATCTTCATTGGCTCTTCTTCTCTAACTTAGGCACATCCCATGTACAGGATTTTCTGTTCTAGAAGGGCAGGTTCTTTCATTCAGCCAACCCACCAATCTCTACCACCCATTATCAGGCACTGTGGAGAATACAAAGCTGACTAAGGCATTGTTCGTGCCCTAAAGCTCACACCATCCAGCAGGAGGGAGGGTGCCTAGGTGCCCCAGAGGACAGGTACTCTGGACAGAGGCGCTCCTCACGGCAGGGCATGGACAGAGTAGTTCCTGAGAAACCACATCCCTCATTTCCATCAAGGCTGGCTCAGGGGTTGGCCTTGTGCCTACTGTTTTATATACAGTCATGGACCACATAACGATGTTTCAGTCAACAACTGACCGCATATACTTAATCCCCTCAGATTAGTACCGTATAGCCTAGATTTGTAGTAGGCTGTACTATCTAGGTTTGTGTAAGTACACTCTACAATGTTTGCACAACAGAATCGCCTAATGACACATTTCTCAGAATGTATCCCCATCATTAAGCAATGCATGACTGTGCTTTGCTAAAAATTAGGAAGTTCCTAATCTCTACGAGACAGAGAAAAATGAAGCACCAGAACAAAGAAGATGACAGGGCAGTGATCAACCTTGGAGTTCTAAACACACGCATATGTCCGTGGTGGAGTAGAACAGATGCGTCCACGAGGGCAACATCAGTAGGGGATTCTCAGCCCCGGGCTTAGAGCAGAAGCGGCTCATTTGGTCATGGTGGGGTGGAGTAACAAAGCCCCCACAGGTGTAAATAGAACCCTATGGAAAGGTGGGGGTGAGTGGCCCTTCCTTCCCTTCCTCCTCTCTTCCAAGGTCTACTTCAGTTCTGACGGGCAGGCCTTCCTGTAGTGAAAGGTCAAGACTGCAGACCATTCGTGCACTTTTATTCCACGATGAGGCTCTTACAGAAGCATATACCAGGGGCCGGTCCTGTGGCCGAGTGGTTAAGTTCACGCAGTCCGCTTCGGCGGCCCAGGGTGTTGCTGGTTCAAATCCTGGGCGTGGACATGGCACCGCTCATCAGGCCATACTGAAATGGCATCCCACATACCACAACTAGAAGGACCCACAACTAAAACATATATACAACTATGTACTAGGGAACTATGGGGAGAAAAAGGAAAAATGAAATCTTAAAAAAAGAAAAAAAAGCATATGCCAATCCTGTGCCTGGCACTGACAGCACTCGATAAATATTTGAAAAAATGAACCTTGCAGGAAGGAAAGCCCCACCACCCCCAAGGTACCCATCTGCCCTAGCATTCTGCACACCCATGCAGGCATTGGCAGAAGAGGCCCACAGCATGGCACAGCTCACAGAGCTACAAAGAAATCAACTTTATTGGACAGTCAGGTCAGTTTCTCTTTTTGCCCTTGCCCGTGACCTTGGCTGGTGTGAGGACTGGAGCTGTTGCCTGGTACAGAGTCGAGGAGATCTTGTTGATGTAGTACAGACCAACCATGGAGAAGATGAAGCTACCAGGTGAAGACAGAAAGGTCATGGTATCAGTGGGCATGCTATCAGCCTGGTGCCTCCTAGGGCAGATACCAGCATCAGGGAGAGAATCCAGGTTCAGGTTGAGGAAATGGGGACGGGGAAAGGAGGGAGAACAGAAGGGGACAGACTTATGGGGAAGGTCTGGAACCACCACAGGAGGATCCAGTGTCAAAGAACAGGGTGCTGCACCCCTTACCCAGCTGTCAGACACATACCACGTGGTGACACACACTCGGTGGATGAGGCCGGATGCAAACAGAGCCAACAGGAGGCAAAGGAGAACTGGGGAGGCAAGAGGGGACAAGAAGGGTGATGGTCAGAAGGGAAATACTAGGCATTCATATGTGGAGTCTAGAGAAATCTGGGGCCCTCTGAATCTTGGTGAACCATTGGAGTATGGCATGACAAGAACAGGAGGACGGCCTTAATGATGCCCAGGACACGGACGTAGGAGATGCATGTTCACTACTAGCTCTGCCCCAGGTAGCACTTAACTTCCCTCTCGTGGCTTTCCTCTGATAAAAAGGAAAAGGGAAGGTGATAGGAGAGTCTGAAGGGCATGGCTTGGGGAAGAGGGTCAATGCCTTTCCAACAGAAGCCAGCCAATGGGGATCAATTCATTAAACTGGCTGGCCAGTGGTGGAAGTTGAGGTCCTCACTCCCTGGACACAGGTTGGAGGGCAGTGTCTGGATATACACACCCAAGAGGGCAGGAAAGGGTCTCAGGATATCTAGAGTAGGACTGGAGAGAAGGTGAAAGGGCAGAAAGCAAAGGCAAGCCCCACCTGCCCAGTTGGGGAGGGCAGGCAAGGAGAGCCAAGAACCCCGCCCCGCAAAACATACGGAAACAAAATCTAACAGAGGGAAGTCCTGGGGCTGATGGAAGGAGCTCTGGAAGCCTGCAACAGGGCCAAGTGGAGAGAGCAAGCCCTGGAGGAGGGGAGAGAGTGGAGGACAAGGGTGACATGTCTTTGTTCCACCAGATGAAGGCTTCACATGAGGTGGCATCTGCTGCCAATTTGAAGCATGTGGCATTCCTTAGGTGATCTGGCCTTGATGCCTAATTTGCTTTACGAAAATTCTCCATAAGTAACTAAATCATCAATTTTGATTACATGGAGCAAAAACAAGGATCCTTTCAAACAGAAAACAACCTAACAGATACTCTATTTTGGCCAGGATTCCTGCTGACATAGAAATTTGGTGTATCTAATAGCTAGGCTCTTCACAATCATCTCAAATAAACAGAATTCTCTAATATTGGGTCAAGTTCACATCAGAACCCCTCAATGAACTCGGTCCTGCTGCTGCTTCTGGTGGGGAACAAAGAACGCCTCCCCAGAGACGTATACAAAATACGCCCAAACTTGTCTGTTCCTCTCAAACTTTCCCCGGAAACTGGCCAGAAAGTACTGAGCTTCTCGCTTTCAGGGGCCTGCTCTTCCCGCTCCAATTCCAGGAGCTAGATAAGGTGCTGGATCCAAAAGAGTCATCTACCTCCAGACAGTTTTAGTAAATACATTTCCTTCTCCTAAACAACCTTTACCATGTAAGCACCTGGAAATTCAGTACCGTATCGGGGGAGGTCAAATACGCAACGCCCAGTTTTCACTTACTCTCTGGGAAAATCTTTGCTTGGAAGCCTTTGCCAAAGACAAGATTCTCCAGATTATTGAAGGCCTGGGTCGCGGGAGTTAAGGAGTGGGGCGTGCAATGGGAGCACGGTAATGTGGGTAATGGGAACGGCACAAGCGTGCGTGGCCCTCCACCCTTCCTACCCTCAAACCCCTCTCCCCGCTCCACCGCAGGGAGGATACAGTGAGAGAGAAGACGAAAAGGCCGGAGCCAAGCAGGCCCCCCTGGATGGTGAGCCACTCGGTGGAGGCCAGCTGGCGGCTGTACATCTGCATCCCAGCGAAGAGCAGCAGGGACAGGAGGGAGGAGAGCGCCAGCGAGGTGCCCGTACCCACCACTGGAGGGGAGGAGAAAAGAGACGGAGAGTCAGGCCCGGCCCTCCCTCCAGGAGCCGCAGGCAGATTCGGCAGGTCCCCGAGCTCGACGGCCCGACATCTTCCAAGCACTCCGGGACGAAGCCACACTCTCCGACTCCCCACACCCTGCGGCGACCCCCAGGAATTCCTCAGTCCCAGAGGCCCTGAACCCTCCCGTCCCGTGGAAATGCCCGCCCGCTGCAACCCAGGACACGTCAGCTCTGTGGGGAGAGGACAGAGAAAGTTGGTCCGCCCCAACTCCGACGCCCACTACTCCGCCAGGGGAGATCCGCCGGTCCCGTTACCCATCCTGCCCAGCCCGCGAGTCCAGTCGGCGCCTGTGGCCAAGAAAAAGTGGAGCCGAACCGGGTGCAGCTGCCTGTGCGCATGCGTCGGCGCTCCTTGCGAACTTGCTTCCCTCAAGTCTTCCTCTTTCTCTCTCTTTCTCGGCGCCTGCACGCAGCGCCCTCTTCCGGCAGGGAGGAAATATTGTGTCTAAAACCATCCTTGGCCACCGCCCTGGTCCCCCACCCTTCCCCGCATCCCAAGCATCTGCTGCCTCTCGATGAAAGCTGCACTTAACTCTTCAAGTCACTGGGACCATGGCCCATAGCCTCTAGCCCACCACTGTCTTCTTTGCCATTTATGTCATCTCTAATGCCTGTTCCTCAGTCCTCCCTCTCCCATGATCATTGCCTCGACATCTCCCCGAGACTCTTGGCCAAACGAAAATTTAGTCCTCGCATCCTGGAGCCTATCTTTCTCTGAAACTATCTTCCCGCTTTATATTAGTAAAATTAGGGGCCAATGAAGAATGTGAACATAAGAAGTGGCTCTCCCCTCAAATACCATTCCATGTTACCCAACCCCCAGACTGCCTTCTGAGAACCACGTGGGGAGAACTATTTCCCACCTCCCACCCCGACCGGCGCTGTTCGAGGCTGGTCCCTGGAGCATGCGCAGTGACATCTCACCCCCACCCCTCCCCACACCCCCATCGGGCTCCTGCATTAAGCCCCGGGTTCGCAGCCGCAGCCGAGATCAGGCACCCGGGGGCGGGCGGGCATGGTAGGGCCATGGCTGAGGGTGAGGATATGCAGACCTTCACTTCCATCATGGATGCACTGGTCCGCATCAGTGTGAGTTAAGGTGGGGTCGAGGGGAACGGGAGCGGGAGTATAGGGGTCCGGGCAGGCCCAGACCTTGAACAGGTGGGGATCTGGCAAGATGCTGGGATGTAGACAGGGGGCTAGTGATAGCAGAAAGGACTGGGAGGGTCGGGATGCAGGTATGAGAGGGTAATCCCTGAGGCAGCCCGGAGGTGAGTGCCGTGAAGGCGTCCATCTGCTGGGGCATGAGGAACAAGGAGCTGCCCGGACGCAGCGGGTGGGCTGGGGCTGCAAGGCAATGGGGCTATGCTATGAGGAGGGGGCGTGTGTGAGCTTGGAAAATTTCCAAGAAAACCGAGGACAGGTGGGAGGCGATGAAGGAGTCGCCCCAGGGTGCAGTTCCCAATTTGGACCCCTCCGTGAGACCCCACCCCACCGCACCCCCACTCAGGGCTGCCTCCGAGCCTGTGGTTGTCATGGAAACCCGTGCCCGGCTCTCCCAGGGGCGGTGCCAACCCTGCTCCCCCCCACCACTTCCTTCCCCCTCCCTCCCTGTCCCTCCCTCCTTTGTGTCAGCTGCGCCCCTGACCGGGATGGCTGCGAAGAGAGGGACCAAGGTGAGGTGTGGGGGTGGGGCATAGCCTGAGGACCCCCGCCACCAAAAAAGGGAGGGGTACTTCCGGTGGGGAGGGGGAGAGTAGGCGGGGCGCTTGTTTCTCCCTTGATGGGGGAGGGGGTTGCGGCTAGCCAGGTTTCACCAGGGAAGGGAGCCGGATTGCCGGCTGGTAGGGGGCAAGGGGAATGGGCTAGTATCGGACGACAGGAGGAGATGGATGGAGAAGTGAAGATGGGGGATGGAGGCTGGGGCGGCCGCAGGCCAGAGCCGCGGCAGGAGGACGGATGGGGTGAGCAGGAGGATGGAGAGCGAGCGGCGCCTGGCTATAGGGAGGAGTCACGCGGAGGGGGGCTGCAGAGGAGGACGTGGGGGTCCGCACCGAGCTGCAGAATGGGCGGTGTCCATGAGAGAAGTGCCAGGGGCAGGCTGCCCGGAGATTGGGGGATGGGGGCAATGGCCAGGTGAGAAGGACTGCAGGCCCTGCTGGGGCAGTGGGGGTGAAAGGGGTGGGGCTTGAGGCTGGGGGAGGCACAGCTCCAACCACCCCTCCTCCATAGACCTTTAGTTCTGCAGAAGGGAAACAGGCAAGAGACAGAGAGCTGAGAAGGTCTGTGAAACAGGCTGAGGCTGGTGTTGGGGAAAAGCCATAGATAGCTTGTCTTTCCCCATTCTGAGACCCCTTGGGTCTCTTAAGGGCAACTGAGGGGCCTGTTGAGATGTGCCCAGGTGTCCAAGCTCTGACCCAACCTCCTGATCCCTCCACAGACGAGCATGAAGAACATGGAGAAGGAACTGCTGTGCCCAGTGTGTCAAGAGATGTACAAGCAGCCACTAGTGCTGCCCTGTACCCACAACGTGTGCCAGGCCTGTGCCCGGGAGGTGCTGGGCCAGCAGGGCTACGTAGGCCATGGTGGGGACCCCAGCTCCGAGCCCACCTCTCCTGCCTCCACCCCTTCCACCCGAAGTCCTCGCCTCTCCCGAAGAACCCTCCCCAAGCCAGATCGTTTGGACCGGCTGCTTAAGTCAGGTGGGACTGGGCCCTGTGGGGTGGGGGTGAGGAGGCTGGGATGTCCATTAGGAAGATGGAAGAGGTCCATCACTGGTCAGGGGCATCTGTCTTTCAGGGGCTGGAGATACTGCTCATCCAGGCTCTAGTGAGAGAAGAGCTCTGGCACAATAAAAATTAATTTTTAATTGAACCGATTTCCCCCACCCCAGACAGCTCTAATTTTCAGCTCTCTACCTCCTGGCCCATCCACAGGCTTTGGGACATACCCCGGGCGGAAGCGAGGTGCTTTGCACCCCCAGGTAATCATGTTCCCGTGCCCAGCCTGCCAGGGCGATGTGGAGCTTGGGGAGCGGGGCCTGGCAGGGCTGTTCCGGAATCTGACCCTGGAGCGAGTGGTGGAGAGGTACCGCCAGAGTGTGAGTGTGGGTGGTGCCATCCTGTGCCAACTGTGCAAGCCCCCGCCACTAGAAGCCACCAAGGGCTGCACCGAGTGCCGGGCCACCTTCTGCAATGAGTGCTTCAAGCTTTTCCACCCCTGGGGCACCCAGAAGGCCCAGCATGAGCCCACCCTGCCTACTCTCTCATTCCGCCCCAAGGTGAGCCAGCCCTTGCAGAACCTGGGAAGGGAGGGGCACAGTAGCGCTGGGTGGGTGGGACTGCCTGGCATTGTGGGCTTCCAAAAGGAGATGGGCAGGGGTGCAGGCACTGGACAAATCTTTGAACACCTTTGAGCCTCCATCTCATCTGTTGAATGAGGATGATAACATCTGCCCTGCAATATCCATACCCGCAGGGTGGTTGAGAGATCACCTGAGATAATGTTTGTGAAAGTTATCTGTATACTAAAAAAGTCTGTATGCATTCATGCATTGAATTGAACAAATATTTATCAAGCACCTATGTGCCTGGTGCTATTTTAGGTGTTGGGGATATGGCAGTAAACAAGGTGGGCAAGGTTAATTATTAGCCACGAGGCTAAGATTGATTATGATCCTTGTTATTGTTGTTACCACACATCTTGAGGTGGATGATGGGAGGAGCAAGGCCTGGAGAGTGCAGGAAAGGCTCTCTTTGATGCCAGTGTGTACCACCAGGTGGCACTGTATGACCAGCTGAACTCCCCTCCTCCCCCATCAAGCCAGGGGAGGGAGAGGACCAAACTGCTCCAGTGGTAGGTCAGCACCTTTACACCCAGCATTGGCTGACTATGTCATTGCTCCTTCTGTCCCGAGGGCCTGATGTGTCCAGACCACAAGGAAGAGGTGACCCACTACTGTAAGACGTGCCAACGGCTGGTATGCCAACTCTGCCGAGTGCGGCGCACTCACAGCGGGCACAAGATCACACCAGTACTCAGCGCCTACCAGGCCCTCAAGGTGAGAACCCCGCCTCACTCAGCCCCAGTGCTAACCCACACTTGCACCTGCTCTTGACTGCTGGCTTCTGCCGAGCCAGGCGTGATGCTCACCTCTTTCTTCCCCCTCAGGACAAGCTGACAAAGAGCCTGACATACATCCTGGGAAACCAGGACACAGTACAGACCCAGATCTGTGAGCTGGAGGAGACTGTGAGGCACACCGAGGTGAGGGAGGGCATGGAGGTGGGCCCTGGGCCCTGCCTGGGAGTGAAAGCAGGAAGAGGGTGTGGATGGGCATGGCCCAGTCACCTGGTTGCAAGCTCAGGAAGCCCGTGTGGGGCCCATGGATATGTTGAGGTTCTGGTTAAACCAGGTTGGCAGGAACATCAGTGCCCCAGGCCAGGCTGTACCTGGGGCTGCAGTGGAGACACCGTGGCTATGCCCAGGACAGGAAGAGCTTGAAAAGCCCCAGGGACATAGCTTAGATGCTCTCAGGCTCAGCTGCCTGCTGAGGATGGCACACATTCCTGGAGCTAGGGTGAGGTGGTGGCTCTGACACCTTCTGCCAGATTGCTTGAATCAGCTGACTTGGGGGTGGGCAATAAGGATGGCATCAACGCTGGTGGACATTAGTGCAATCCAAGTGGACATTATTGCAGTCATGGCCTCTTTTATTTGGGGGAGTCCTTAAGGGGTCAGGATTGTGGGGTGGGCATCCAGGAAGGTTGGCACAAATGGTCAGGAGTTGAGCCCATCTGGGTGTACAGGTGCTTTTGGAGCCATGAACCTGGCCTTATTGGAACAGGTGGGTAGGATTTCCCCAGATCCTTTGTGATCGTAGCCCATGGTGCGGTGCCCCAGGAGGCTGGCGCAAGTGCTGCCTTCAAAAAGAAGATAGTAAGTGTTGTTCTCTGGGCAGGTGAGTGGTCAGCAGGCCAAGGAGGAGGTGTCCCAGCTGGTACGGGGGCTGGGGGCTGTGCTGGAGGAGAAGCGGGCATCACTGCTTCAGGCCATTGAGGAATGCCAGCAGGAGCGGCTGGCCCGTCTCAGCGCCCAGATCCAGGAGCACCGGAGCCTGCTAGATGGCTCAGGTCTGGTGGGCTACGCCCAGGAGGTTCTTAAGGAAACAGACCAGCCTTGCTTTGTGCAAGCAGCCAAGCAGCTGCACAACAGGTACTCAGGGGCATGGCGTAGGGGCACGGGCTCCTAGGGCCAGGGGTATCATGGGTTTAGCCAAGGTCCAAGACAATGTCTAGAGTACTGCCTGATGGAGAGCTGGCCCTGAGGATTTTCACTAGGCCAAAGTCATACCCCGCTTTCCTAAAGGATAAGGAAGAGACCCAAAGCAGATGCCAAGCCTCTAGGGGCAGGCAAGGCAGAATCAAGGGGAAAGGTGGCTGCCCAGATGGCAGAGCCTGACCCTTGGCTGCCCACATCCCAGGATTACCCGAGCTACGGAGGCCCTCCAGATGTTCCGACCAGCTGCTAGCTCTTCCTTCCGCCATTGCCAGCTGGACGTGGGGCGTGAGATGAAGCTGCTGACAGAGCTTAACTTCCTGCGAGGTAAGGAGATGGCCAGGCCCCATGCCCAATTAGAGCTTTCCTCCCTTCTTCCTCAGCAGCGGGCCCGGGGGGCAGTGCCCACCGGGGACCTCCCTGGCCTCCTGCCCAGCCTGGCCAGCCACCCCTCCCACCTAGCCCACCCGGCCACACCGTCCCATCGCGCTCAGCGCTGCTTCTCCCTCTCTTTGTTTGTAGGCCGTGGCCACCGCGGACTCTGCTCCGGAGCACCCCAGGCAAGTCAGCGGCCCTGCCCCGGGGGACCTGCCCCCCGCCGGGCCCCCTGCCCCAACCCTCCCTGCCGCTCCCACGCAGCTCAGCCACCCACTCATTGCCTCCTTCTCTGTCCTGCCCTGTCCAGACGCTCGGTCCTCCCCCGACCAGTGCCCTCCGTCTCTCTTCTACCTTCCTTAGATGCTTGCCTAATCCTTGCCCCTTTGACCTTTTGTCCCTGTGACCCTTGCCCTCTGGACTTCCTTTTCTTCCCCTTGCCTTTCGACCCCTGCTCTCAAGCTTTTGCTTGCCCTCTTTTGTCCCTCATTTTCTGTCTTACTGACTCTCATACCTATCTCCCTCCCGCTCTGTCCCCTCCTTCCTGTTCAGTGCCCTCTTGCCTGGGTTCCAGTGGCCTTTGCCTGCCTTTCCCTGGGGCTCCTCTTTATCCATAGAATAAAAAGGGTCAGAGAAAGAAGGGTCCCCGTCCTGTCTGATACCCTCGTTTGACAGAGGAGGAAACTGAGGTCCAGAAGGGGAAAGTGACTGACCCAAGGCCAGCGTGAGAGAGTGGCAGACCGGGACTAGCACGCAGGCCTCCTGCCTCCCGCCCAGTGCGCTCCTGCCTCTCTCCTTCTCCCCTGGGCTCTGCCCTGTCTGTCCCTGCCCAGCGCCCAGATAGGTCTTTTTCCCACTTCCCTCTCACCCACACTCACCCCCCCGGCTCCCGCTGCTTTCCCTTCTCCTGCCTGCCCTCCATGCCAGGCCAGCGGCCAGGCCCTGACTGATCCCCACTGTCTCTTCCAACAGTGCCCGAGGCTCCTGTCATTGATACCCAGCGCACCTTTGCCTACGACCAGATCTTCCTGTGCTGGCGGCTGCCCCCACACTCACCACCTGCCTGGCACTACACCATTGAGTTCCGGCGCACGGATGTGCCTGCCCAGCCGGGCCCCACCCGCTGGCAGCGGCGGGAGGAGGTGAGGGGCACCAGTGCCCTGCTCGAGAACCCTGACACTGGCTCTGTGTACGTGCTGCGTGTCCGTGGCTGCAACAAGGCCGGCTACGGCGAGTACAGTGAAGATGTGCACCTGCACACGCCCCCAGCACCTGGTGAGTGGGCAGGTGGGTGGGCACAGTGTGGCATGCCAAGCGCACAGCGTATGCTGGGAGCCAGGCACTAACAGCTGGTGCTGGGTGGACTGGAGAGACAGTATAACACAATGGGTTATGCTCACTAGCTCTGGGGCTAGACTGCCCGGGTTCAATCCCAGCTCTGCCTCTTGCCAACTGGGTGGCTTTGGGCAAGTTATTCACCCTCTCGGATCTTCAAGTTCCCCTTCTGTAGGGATAATAACAACACTTACCTCATAGGGTTGCTGTGAGAGTTGACACAGCAGCACTTGATAAGTGAGATGATACATGTAATGTCTTAACAGAGTTTCTGGCTCCTAGTAAGGGCTCAATAAATGTTACTAAAGTGACTCTCCAGAAAATAGTGTGGGGCATAACAGAGGAGGATGACCACCCCAGTAGGGGGCAGAAGAGTTAGGGGTTGGGTGTAAGTACCAGGTGTGAGCACCAGAGTGTGGGCTGGAAGGTGTAGGTAGATGGTGGTGGGAATGTCACCAGGTGGAACAGAATAGTGAGGACTGTCCACGGGGCCAGCATGGGAAAGGGGTTGGAGGAAGCACTATGAGTCAAGTGGGTCTGGGAGACCAGTTTCTGTGCCCACCAGTCATCACTGCAGTTCTTCCTGGGGTCGTCTGCCCATCTGGGATGCCCCTTCTGTTTTCCCTATGCCCCCATTCCAGTTCTCCAGGCCCTGTTCCCCAGAGCCCCCTGCCCAGCCCTTGGCAACGTGTTCCATGTTCTGAAATCTCCTAGTGTCTTGTGCTAACACCTCACAGTCGCCAGTGCCAGTGTTTGCCCCTGAAGTCCTTCCTTCTGTCTCAACCCTCCCCAACTCCAGTGCTGCACTTCTTCCTCGATGGCCGCTGGGGTACAAGCCGAGAGCGGCTGGCCATCAGCAAGGACCAGCGAGCAGTGCGGAGTGTTCCAGGGCTGCCCCTGCTGCTGGCTGCTGAGCGGCTGCTGACTGGCTGCCACCTGAGCGTGGATGTGGTCCTGGGCGATGTGGCTGTGACCCAGGGCCGCAGCTACTGGGCCTGCGCCGTGGACCCAGCCTCCTACTTGGTCAAGGTGGGCGTTGGGCTGGAGAGCAAGCTTCAGGAAAGCTTCCAGGGCGCCCCTGATGTGATCAGCCCCAGGTCAGGCCTCTCTGGAAGGGAAGGGGTGTGGGGACCCTGGGTGGGGGAGCTGGGAACAGGGTGGAGGTAGCAAAGAGAGCACAGACTTGCTGGGGGGGAGCTTGGGAGGAGATTGGGAGGAAGCAGTAGGAGCATGGGGGCCGGCTGGAGGGGCTTGGGGCCAGGGGAAATGTGGGCTCAGCGAACGGGCTTTGAGGATTGATTTTCAGAGTGAGTGGCTGGGGAAAGGGATAATAGAAGAGGGAGCCATCTCCACTTCCTTCCATCTGTCACTCAATACACCATCTCTCCAAGCCTCTGTGTCCTTTCTCCCTAATATCCCATTTCCAACATCCTTCCTCCACAAAACCTTTTCTCTCCAAACCTCCTTCACCCACATCTTTTCTGAACATCCTAATATTCTTCCCTTAAACTTTGCATCTCCATACCTTTTTATCCCCAGCATCCTATTTAACACCCTCCCACATATGCTTTTCTCCCTGAACCCCTTCTCCCCAGCACTCTACCCCCCAACACCTCATTTCTTCAAAATGCTTTCTCTCCAACACCAATTCTTCCTAAACCCTATCTTCCCCAAGCCTGCATCCCTCTAACATCCTTCATCAATGACACCCATCCCCCTCATCTCTCTCCCAACATTCACCTTCCCAACATCCTTTCTCTGCTCTTCCCCTCTCCCCAGCCCCTCAGTCACCAACCCCTCTTTCTTCCAGCATTCCCTAACCCTCAAAACCCTCTCCTGGCGTGATATCTCCAATACCACTTTTCTCACCACCTTCCCATCTCGCTAAGAGCTGCGTTTTTCCCTTTTTTTTTTTTTTTGGAGGAAGATTAGCCCTGAGCTAACTACTGCCAATCTTCCTCTTTTTGCTGAGGAAGAATGGCCCTGAGCTAACATCCATGTCCATCTTCCTCTATTTTATACGTGGGACACCTACCACAGCATGGCTTTTTGCCAAGTGGTGCCATGTCCGCACTGGGGATTAGAACCCACAAACCCTGGGCCACCAAGAAGCGGAACATGCAAACTTAACTGCTGCACCACCGGGTCAGCCCCTAAGCGCTGCTTTTCTTGAATCTGCTTTATCAATACCTTGTCTTTCTTCCCCTCCCCACACCTCTCTTGCCAATATGCTTTCCTCTCAATTCCCCTTTCCCACAAAACCAAACCCCCAACCCTATATTCTAACCTTTGTCTCTTCAACGTGTTTTCTCCTTAATACCCACATCAATCCTTTCAACCACTTGCTCCCCAATACTCCATCCTTCCAACATCTCAGCCCTCTGGTACCCCACCCCCCACTCCCTTACTCACCCGTCAACTTCCTTCTACCCAATGCCCGCTCCTGCAGGTATGACCCGGACAGCGGACATGATAGCGGTGCTGAGGATGCCACAGTGGAGGCGTTGCCACCCTTCGCTTTCCTAACCATTGGCATGGGCAAGATCCTGCTGGGGTCCGGGGCCAACTCAAATGCAGGGCTGACAGGGAGGGATGGCCCTTCAGCGAGCTGCACAGTGCCCTTGCCGCCCCGCCTGGGCATCTGCCTGGACTACGAGCGGGGCCGGGTTTCCTTCCTAGACGCCGTGTCCTTCCGCGGGCTCCTGGAGTGCCCCCTGGACTGCTCCGGGCCTGTGTGCCCTGCCTTTTGCTTCATTGGGGGTGGGGCAGTACAGCTACAAGAGCCTGTGGGCACTAAGCCTGAGAGGAAGGTCACCATTGGGGGCTTTGCCAAGCTGGACTGACCCTTTCAGGCCTCTCCTGGACCCTGGGTTCCCAAGCCTCCTAGAGCCGGGTTATTCCTCCGGCAGCTTCTCCCCCAAACTCTTCCTACCATGTGGTCCTGTCCCTTACCCTATGTCTGTGTCTTCCCAGGGCCTTCTCTTGACCAAGGGACTCTCCTCTGCTCACCTCTCTGGATGTCCCCCATTCTCTCCATTGCCTGTTAATCCAGGCTCCCACCCTCACCAGGTCTCTGCCCCATGCCCTGCCCTTGGCATCTTACCCAGGTCATGGAGAGAGCCCCTTCCCCATCACTGTCCTGTGCTCCTCCCCAGGCTGTTTGGGAGGGAAGGCACCTGGAACACTGGGCATGATCCCCAGCTCTACCCTCTGCCCTGCCAAGCTCCCTGCCCCAATGATGCTGAACTACAGCCTTGGGGCGGGCAGCCTCTTTGGCCAGACACTGCCCAGGCACTTCCTGGTGAGGGGAAGGGGACCCTATCATCCTGCTTTATTTATTTGGGTCCCCATACCCCTCAGCCGCATGCCTCTTATGTCCCCCTTCTCTCTTTTGCATGCTTTACCTGCCCCACACCCATGCACCCATGCCAACGTGCCAAGTCTCCCTTGGGACCCCAGCTGAGGTTGCGTGTCCCCGGTGGGTTGGGCCAGGCAAGGCCTCTGGTGCCAGCAGCTGCCCCCCTGTGGTGGGCACTGCTAGGCCTGTGCCAAGCAACAGCTATTACTTTCATGGTTTATAAACAATAAACTGTGATGGCAGGCACATCTCTGCCTTCCCTGAGCCTGACCATTCCTCTCAGTTTCTGTGATGGACGTGGCAGGTGGGAGGGATTCAGGGTCCTCTGCTATTGCTCAGAACAGGAGTGCCCGATGCATCTGCTGCCACAAGGAAGTCAGTCCCCAAGCCAGACGTTCCGGAGTCTCCTGCCACATCTGTAACCGGCCTAGACCCGACCATGGCCGCCAGGGGGCGCATCCCTCTGGTGGTTACTGGCGCCAGCCCCTAGACGGGGCAACCTGCCGGCGACGCCCAGGTCCCAGGGGAATGTGGTTGAGGGAGCGGGCACCGTGCCTGGACCCAAAGGGGTCAGGGAACCAGAACCACTTCCCCATTCCAGGGTGCGGGGAAGCAGACCCCAGAGCCAACGGACGGGGGGCAGCCGGCGGCCAGGGAGGGGGCCGGGCCTGGCGCCAGTTCCCGGATCTGACACGGCACTTATCCCTGCCGTGTTGACTCTACGGCTGTTATCGCTGCTTGAGGACTTGCCTCACACCCGGAAAGCTAAGAATAGAGCTGCCTGGGGCACCATGCCAAGGGGAGAGGAGGGGCGGGCCGCCACCAGCCCCCAGCCAGAGTGAAACCCAGGCCCCCAGGCCCAAGGAGAGGGGAGAGCTGCAAGAGCCGGGCAGGTGCGCAGGTGGAGTCGAGTCACGGTGGCCTGTGACCTGCAGAGCCGGCCTAGGTTTGGTTTCCTCCTACCTCCTGTGCAGCCATCGACGGGAGAGAGGTGACTCAAGTTCTTCCGCCAGCCACTCCTGCGCCCCAAGTCATCTCTCCACGCCTCCTGCTTCTCAAATGAACTCTGCTCCTCCTCGCTTTCTTTCCTCCCTGTCTCACCCCCAAAGGCCCCTTCCAGACTCCCTCACACACACATGCTGACTGCTCCTCTGTCTCTGAGTCACAGATGAAGGATCAGAAGTTGGTGGTCAGGGCAGAGGAGGCCCACGTTTTATTTAGCCACGTTCAAGCTCCCACTCCCATCTCGGGGCTTTCTGAAACAGTCCTCCTGGGAGCCACTGCTCCAGGCATGTCTCCAGGGGCTCAGATGGGCTCCACCAGGGCTAAGATGAGTCGGGATTTGGTGGGGCCTGGGAGTTGTGCCAGCCCACCTGAATTTCCAGTTCACCAGCCCAGAAGGGGGTGGAGGGGGTTGCGGGGGGGGGTTCTGGCAGTGAAGAACCTGAGCGAGGCAACTGGCACTGGCTGGACAGACGCTCAGCAGGCAATGTGCTCCTACAAGTTAGCAGAAGTGGCTGCTGGGTTCGTGTAAGAGAGGCTGCTGCCACCGTTGCCTGAAGAAACCTAGGTGGGAAGTAAAGGGATCCAGGGTGAGGGCAGAAGCTTTCCTGGGAGGAGCTCCCTCCCCAGGGCCCCTGGAAGGTCCAAGAGCCTGGCGAGCTCTCAATGGGTTAATTCGGAGAGAGCACCTGCTGGGCACCAACAGCAGCCAGGTGACTGTAAACAGGGCCCAGGGCCGCTCCTCCTCCCTCAGCTCCCCTTCACCCCTCCTCTTGGCTCTAATCAGCCCCCTTGCCCTCTCCTCCTGCCCTTTCCCTCCTCCATTATCTGCTCCCCTAGCCCAAGGAGGTGTATGTATATCTGTGTAAAACTGGGAGAAGGAAGTCCCCAGGCGAAGGAAAAACAGGGTCAGTTAAAGGAAACTCCTCCCTCCCCCACCTGGAGTGGCGTTCCAGCCCTGGGTGGCCCAAGTAATTATTTACTAGGTCCTGGAGAGAAAGGCCAGGAGAGGAAAGAGGGAGGAGGGGTCCTTGCTTCCTCCAGACTCCCAAGAACTTCACGGGCACCCAGACTCACCTGGCTTGGTGAGACTTCTTCCTCCACCTCAGAGACCTCCCTCCTGCCAGCCTTTCACAATCTACCCTCCATTCTTAGAACTCCAGTGGGAGCACAGGTGCTCATTCCCTGTGAGTCCTGCGTGAGGGCTCCCCTGGGCACAGTGCCCCACCCATTTTGCCTCTGGGCATCCCAGTGAGCGGCTGTGGCACCAGTTCAGCTGAGCAGGGACTGCTGTTTTCGAAATGCTAGGAGTCTGGACACTCCCTCTTGAGGTCCTCTTTCTTCCGTGGTCTCCTCCCCAGCTCTTTCCCCGAGAACTCCTCTGACCTCCACCCCCATCCTTGCCAGGCCCTCCACCGCTTACTTCATGCTGCCTCTCACCTCTTCTAAGTTCTCCGGGCTTTCCAAGCACCCTTTCGGAACCCCTGCCCAGTCAAAGCTTCTGCCTCCCTCAGCCCATGGGGGCCATCCTCACCTCCTCATAGGGGCTACGTCTGGTACTGCCAGGGGGCACATAGCGCCCATGGGTGTGGTAGGTGGGGTACTCGCTCATAGGATGGTAGGCATCACGGGTTGGAAAGATGTCCAGCTGCCCATAGTTCTTTCGGCGGCACTGACACACAGCCTGGGGAGAGAGGAGGTTATGCGGGGCCATGGAGTTCCTTCTAGCAGGGGAACTCTGGGCAAGGCTAGAGACTGAGCACTTACCAGGGCAACGAGATAGATGATGGCCAACGCGACCAGAACACAGACCAGCACCAGCAGGGCGATGCCCCAGCCAGGTACCCCAGACCCAGACTGGGTAGAGGAAGGAAATGGCACATCATTCACTAAAAGGAAAAGCAGTGGTCAGGGCAGTCTCCCAAAGGAGGGACCCTCCTCCTACTAGCATCAAAGGGAAGTGCAGGAATCCAGATGCTGGAGACAGAGGGGCCCTGGCAGCATGGTGCTGGCCCACAGCTGGGGAAGTGGGCTCACCACTAACTCTTGAGATGTCCAGGTTATATCTGGCTGCTTCTGTTGCACCCTTATCAAACAGTGTCTTCACTTCCTGGGCATCAATGGTACCCTCTTGGAAGGCCAAAGTTGATTCTACCACCACGGATCCTGGGCTGGTCACAGGGAAATGGGCAGTTCAGCCACGGGTCCCAGCTTCTGGGTCAGCACTTCCCCCCAACCATGAATGCACCAGTCCCTCCCCACAGTCACGACAACATCCACCCACCCTACACAGAGTCCACACCCAGAACTGTACCTGAACTTCATAGCAGAGAGGCTCAGAAAATCCTCTTGTTTATAAATTTCCGAAAGCTGGGGTGAGAGGGAAAGGCTTGATGCAAGGGGTTCGAGCAGCTCTGAAGGCCGCTTCAGGGTGCTTGGTGGAGGAAAGGGCAGGTACTTACCAATTGAGAAATGTTTCTCTGCAGCTCCTGGTAGTAGTTGGTGCTGGGATCTTCCAGGGAAGAGTTAAACTGGAGGTTCGAAATGTAAAAGGACAGGAAGAAGAAGGAGGCCCTAACAGGAAAAGGATTGGAGGAGGTGGGAGATACTATGCTATGGTTAGTGCTACTGGCAGCAGTCCTGGTACTATGGCTGGCAGAGGTGGTGGGAGTATCAGAGTGGTGGCTGGGAACTGAGGATGGAGTGCCCTTGCTGACTGTAGTTGTGGTAGCCTTGGTAGAGGTGCTCTTGTGTGTTGGAGTGGCAGCTGAACTTGAGGCAGGGCTGGTGGCTGGGGCTGAGGTGACATGGTGGACAGGAGTGGTGGCAGAGCCTGGGGCAGGGCTGGTGATCAGGGATGATGTGCCATTGGGGGCCAGGGCTGAGGTGACATTGTGGACTGCAGTAGTGGTCGAGCCTGGAGCAGGGCTGGTGATCAGGGATGATGTGCCATTGGGGGCCAGGGCTGAGGTGACATTGTGGACTGCAGTAGTGGTCGAGCCTGGAGCAGGGCTGGTGATCAGGGATGATGTGCCATTGGGGGCCAGGGCTGAGGTGACATTGTGGACTGCAGTGGTGGTCGAGCCTGGAGCAGGGCTGGTGATCAGGGATGATGTGCCATTGGGGGCCAGGGCTGAGGTGACATTGTGGACTGCAGTAGTGGTCGAGCCTGGAGCAGGGCTGGTGGTCAAGGATGAGGTGCCATGGTGTGCTGGAGTAGTGGCCAAGCTTGAGGCAGGGCTGGTGGCTGGGGCTGAGGTGACATTGCGGACTAGAATGGTGGTTGAGCCTGGGGCAGTACTGGTGGTCAGGGATGAGGTGCCATGGTGTGCTGGAGTGGCGGCTGAGCTTGAGGCAGGGCTGTTGGTCAGGGATGAAGTGCCATTCGTGGCTGGGGCCGAGGTGACATGGTGGACTGGAGTGGTGGTCGAGCCTGGAGCAGGGCTGGTGGCCAGGGATGAGGTACCATGGTGTGCTGGAGTGGCGGCTGAGCTTGAGGCAGGGCTGGTGGTCAGGGATGACGTGCCATTTGTGGCTGGGGCTGAGGTGACATGGTAGACTGGAGTGGTGGTCGAGCCTGGAGCAGGGCTGGTGGCCAGGGATGAGGTACCATGGTGTGCTGGAGTGGCAGCTAAACTTGAGGCAGGGCTGGTGGTCAGGGATGACGTGCCATTCGTGGCTGGGGCTGAGGTGACATGGTGGACTGGAGTGGTAATCAAGCCTGAAGCAGGGCTGGTGCCCAAGGATGAGGTGCCATGGTGTGCTGGAGTGGCGGCTGAGCTTGAGCCAGGGCTGGTGATCTGGGCCGAGCTGACATGGCGGACTGGAGTGGTAGTCGAGCCTGGAGCAGGACTGGTGGTCAGGGATGACGTGTCATGGTGTGCTGGAGTGGCACCTGAACTAGAGCCAGGGCTGGTGGTCAGGGATAAAGTGCCATGGTCTGCTGAAGTCGTAGTCCGGGTTGAGGCTGAGCCGGTGGCTAGGGTCGGGTTGACCTGGGAGGCTGTATGGGCAGCTGTAAGAAGTTGAGGTTACAAGGTTGGGTGGAGGGACAAATCAGAACAAGGAGAAAATACATCTTCTGACATCTGGAGAAGTAATGCCAGGAGGATTTGTGGAGCGGACCCCTGGGTCAGCCTTCCTCCTCCTTCCCCACTGGCAGCCTCCCTCTCTCTTCCCACACCCCTCTGCTCCTGGCTTGTCTATTTCTCTATTCCTAAAGCTTCACCTCTCCTAACTCCCCTGCCACCGCCACCGCTCCGACTTCTCTTCAGGACATCCACACACACACACACACACAAACACCCCCGGCACCCGCTCTCCTGGGGGTGGGGGGGCATCTCCTCTCAGCCTGTCTTTAGCCTCTCTCCTTTATTCTGGCACAGACTGAGCCATCCCTGTCTGCAACGTCTGCCTCTTGGGGTGCCATCTGCCAGGAAACAAAACCCCCAGAAAGGCTGGGAAGATGACTTGAGAAGGGCAGCCCCCTCCCCACCTTGTGCCCCTCACCTGTAAGCACTAAGAACAGCAGCAGCAGGAGGAAGAAAGGGGCCTGGATGCCCAGTGTCATGGTGGTGGTGAACTGGGTGGGGAGGGGGCAGGACAGACTCAGGCAGGCACTGCGTGTGAGGTGGAGCAGGCACAGGCGCCTGCTGCTTTATACCGGTCCCCCGCCTGCCCGCCCTAGGCTCAGCCAGAGCAGGTGACAGGTGACAAAACCCCACCCCCTCCCCCTTTCCTTACCTTTTCTTACCTCTTCCTCCTCCTCCCCAACCACTCCTGGCCCCTCAGGTAGGGTACATGGGCTCCAATCACTCAACCCCCTGACAACCTGTTTGTTCTCCAGTTGGCCTCCCCCTTTCACCAACCACTTCCTGGCTCCAGAAGGCTGTGTGGGGGAGGGGTGAGGCTGGGGGGGGGGGGCAGTCTGGGACCTGGCTCCCCATGACTCTAGTTTTAGCCTCAGGGCAACAGCCAAGGTGAGTAAAGGAACAGAGAAGTGGGCTAGGTTAAGGCCGGGAAGTTCAGCCTCAGGTCCCCCACTCCACCTCCCCATTCTCACTAGGTCCCTTGGAGCCGCACCCTGGGAAGCTGAGAAGAAATGGGAAGGCTTGCGAATGAGTGGTCTAGATGCTAGTTTTGGACCCCCTCCCCCCACCACTTCCCGGAATAGCCCCACCCTTCTAGCCGCTCCCTGTCCCGTTCCACCCGCAGTTCTACCCTGAAACCCACAGTCCCCGCCCCTGCTGGACTCCCTTGGCCTTCTCCCGAGAAGGGGACAAGGGAAGAAATTTCCGCTTAAACAAGGACGAAACCTGGGCTCCGCCCAACCCTAGGGTCTTTCCTCCACCTTGTAGCGGCGGCCAGCCGGCGTAGCTGGCGGGCTGTCCCGCCCTCTAGCGGTCACCCGGAGCCTCACAGGGCCTGCCCGAGCGGCTGAGGGGCTGCCTCGCTTGGGGGAGAGGGGGTTGGGCGGCGCTGCCAACGAGGGAGCAGATCGAGGCTGGGGAGGGCAGGACGCAGGCAAGAAGAGCCAGTGGCTTGGACAGAGAAGGGGAGCAACGCACTGTACCACGGATGGAGAGGCTGGGAGCTTTAAGAGGGGACTCTCAAGCGAGTGGGGTGGTGTCTGGAGGAAATGGCGCTAAGTGGGTGGGGTCCTGAGGTACGTGGAAGGGGCACCGAGGTATGTGGGAGAGGACATTGGAATGTGGGAGGGATAATGGGGCACGTTAGTTACGTTTTTCACAAGGCAGAGAGTAGGCCCGGCGACAGAATGGTATTTGGGGGCACAGGATTATCCTTTGGGGAGCAGAGCGGTATTTGGGGCAGGTAGGCACATGGTTGGGAGGGGGTAAAACTGTATGTGAGGGTGAGTAATTTGGGGGGACCGAAAGGTATTTTGAAGGGCAGAAATATGTGGGAGCAGGGAAATATTTGGGGCTAGAGCGGCACATGGAGCATAGGGTATCGGACCCCATCCGGAGGTCCTGGGTTGAAGTCTAGGCCGACGGAAGCAGTTACATCCGCATTAGGAAAACAATTCTCAGCCCCGATGAATAAAGAATGAAGAAGGAACGCTAAAAACACTTCAGTGCGACGGGATTGGAGGGGAGCCGGGTCAGGGAGGGAGGCAGCCCTGCTCCCCCGCTCACGCAGCTCCACCAGGTTAGCGCGGCTTTGTGCGGCGGCCAGCGAGGGGCGGGCGCGGGGCGGGGCGGGGGCCGTTGACGTCGCTTGTCCCGGCGCGCGGGCCGGAAGGCGGGGACGCCCCCCACCTGCAGCTAGTGAAAGCGCGAGTATCTAGGTGGGCGGCCCCACAACTTCAGCCCGGCGTTACCAGGCAACAGCCATTCATTTCGGTTGCTGGGACACGCGTCACCATGGCGACAGCTCCGCGCCGCGCAGTCTGAGTATTTAAAGAGCAAGCGCGCTCAACGCCCCGGCGTCGGATAGCGACCTTCCGGGATCCCGCGGTCTCCCTTTCTCCCTGCCTCCCTCCCTTCCCCTTACCATCCCCTTCACCCTCTTCCGGACGCCAAGTCTCTCTGGCCTCCTAGGTGAACCCAACTCCCCAGCGAGCCCCGGGTTCTTGGGTTGGTCCGGCTTCAAGCAGTGGGGAGCGGGATCCCGGGCCCCGGGCGGGCGGGAGGGACGGGACGCGGTGCAGTGTTGTTCTTTCCCCCGCCAATATTGCACTCGTCCCGGCCTCCGGCCCCTTCGGCCCCCCGGCCTCCCCCTCACCCCGAGCGGGGCAGTCCCAGCCCTCCTGGCTCTCGATCCCGGCTGATCTAAGATAGACTGGAGTGTCGCCGCTGCCACCGTGAGTAAGAGGGACTGGGAGGACTTTAGTCATCCTCCGACCAGTACCTCATCCCTCACCTAACCCCTAGCCTTCACCTAACCCCCATCCAGCACCTTCCTCATCATGTCCCAAACCCAGCCAAACTTTCTGTAGATCTCTAACTACCATCCTACCAGTCCTCTCCCTTACCCGCCTCAGGTTCCTTCCTGCTCCCACTCTATCCCGGATTACCCCTAAAATAAGCAATTGCACTGGCTTAGAAAACAACTGGAACTTTATGGCAATGTGCTGTTATCTTTCGTGGGGTTAGTGCCTGAGAAATACCCCTTGAAAACTTCCCATCTCCTGAACAGTGGGGTCACCACCCCTCTGGAGCTGAACTCCTGGTGGGTGCCAGAGGAGGGTCTGTGTTTGGCTGAGGGGCTGTATATTAGACCCCAGGGTCTCCAGAATGGACCCCAAGGCCAAAGGGTCTAAAATCAGGATTCTGAGTCCGGTGGCCACATCTTCACACTCTTCCCTGGAGCAGCTGCCTCCGGAATGGCTCAAAATCCTCGGGCACTGTGTCTGAGGAAGGAGAAATGATTAAGGTCCGAAGATGTGGCTCTCCCAAGAGGGCATGAGAGGTCAGGCTGATCTCAGTCTAGAGCCTCACCATTGCATCGATACTGGAGATTGGACCAAATGATGTTTTCTTGGGAGAAGCAGAATACACCAAGACGCCCCCCTCGCATGGATGTGTCAATGATCACCCCAGAATCCGCCACTAGCTGGGGACCCTCATAGAGCTTCACCCTGTCCAGGATAGGGGTGTCCATTGGTGCTAGGGTGTCAGTGGGCACTGTGCCACCATGCCTGGCCCCTGTTCAACCCCAACCCCCCTTGAGCACACCAGGCCTGAGAGAGAAGGGAGGGGGGAAAAGGGAGGAAGGAAAGGGGAGGGAAGGGGGTGCTTTTCTCAGGCCTGGGGCCCCTGGCTCTTTGTCCATCCCCCTTTGCATCTCAAAGCACCAGCCACATTCCAAGCGAGGATTGGGTTGCCATGACGATGAGCACAATGGACTGGGGGGTGAAGTCACCCGCTTCCCAGGCTCTAGTCCACCCCCCCTTATCCCCTGCCCTGGCGCCCCCGCAGCCCCAGGCACCTTAAAGGGGAACCAACCCAAGTCCCTGGACTCGGCTCTTGGCCATTTCCCCTCCCTTCCCTGTCATCCCTACCAAGTAGGAAATGTGGAGTTTGGATAAAGTGCTGAACTGAGAGGCCTCAGCTCTGCGACTAAGAGGCGTGAAGTCTGGGGCTCAGTTTGCTCTTCTGTAAATGATGATCCCTTCCAGGTCAGACACTTTGATGAGGCAAGTTCTGAGCTGTCCCCATGAAGGGGCTGGATGTGATGTGCCTTTCCACAGACTGGCCTGGGGTTTGGAGGTTCCCAGAGGTGCCCTCATTTGACAGAGGGGAAAACAGAGCACAGAAAAGGAAGGACTTGCCCAACACTGCCTATAGGTCCTCGGCAGCACCAGCACCAGAGCCCAGGCTGCCTGATGTTAGGAGGAAAGCAGGGCTGAGGCAGCAGGTCTGTGGTGAGAGGGGAGATGGAGAGAAGTCCCAGTCCGGGCCCATGGCACCAAGGCACTGAGTAGAGGGGAGGTCACTGGTGAATCCCAGCTAAAAGCAAAGGACAGGCTGAGCCTGGGGTCCCTCAGGAGGGCTCAGCCCCTCCCCTCACCGAATGTAGCCAACTTGAGGCCGGTGCAGCAGCTGCCAGCGGTAGGAGGTCTTGTCACGCCAGCCCACATTTCGTGGGTCAGTCCACAGCAGTCGTACCTGATCAGGGGTGTGGCCAGTATGCCACAGAGCATTCCGGAGGTGCTCACCTGGGCCAGACACTGATGTCACTGCCTGGGGGACAGTGGCAAAGACAGCCGGTCAACCACAGGACCCAAGTGAGGGGAGACAACAGGTTGATAAGTGCAGGTGGAAAAGGAAGTCTAGGTGGTCAGGAGAATGTTCTGGAACCCCAGGGAGCCAACCTCCAGGCCAGAAGTCTGGGTAAGAGGGTTCCCACTCAGGCAGCGGGGGAGGCCGTGGGGTTGCCGGGGGAGACTTTGGGAAAGGGCCCAGGATTGGGGAATCTGGGCAGCTGCGAGACCTTGAGCTGCAGCCCGGGCTGGGCCACAGCCCGGAAAGGTGTGGCCTGCCAGTAGGTCTGTTCCGTTTGTTTCCACATGACCACGTAGAAGCGGCCGCTGTCCTGATAGCTGAAGAGAAAGCCTGCATAGTCATCATCAGTCACTGTGTTCACATGGAAGGTGCCTTCAAAGTCCACGCCATTGAAGGCTGTATATCCTAGGGGTGGGTGGGATCAAGGTCAGGGGCAGCAAAGCTACTGGTGGCCCATTGTGAGGTGGGGGTGGGAAGGGATGCCTGCTATATGTGTGGCCAGTTTGCCCCCCACCTACTCCCCTGGTAGGATTCCTTTGTTTAGAAATTACTGAAATTACTGAACTGGGTGTCCCTTACATACCAACTGCCAGGCCGGGATCACTATTCATGGTTTGAACGATTTCCATGCCCTGGTGGTGTGCAACAAAGAAGAAAGCCCTGATCCAGGTGCGCTACCCCACCAAGGCCCCACCTGGGAGTCTGGTCTGACAGCACCCGCCCAGCCCACTGCCCCAGTACCTGGTTGAGCACGACCCAGTTTGGGTCAATCTGAGCATCACCCTCAGGATCCAGGACGACGGTCTGATAGGCCCGAAAATCTGTGAGGGTTACCTCTGCACTTTCAGGGCACACATCCAGGGGGTCAACGACTGCATCATTGTCAAAGTCATCCTCACACACATCACCAACGCCATTGCCTGGGCAGAGTAAGGCTAGGCACTCAGAAAGGCCCTGGCCACTGGCATTAGCCAGCACTACCATCTCTTGGGCCTTGCATTCCTGACCTCTCTCCCCATTCTGCCTTTCCTCACTCCCCAGCAAGGCCTGTTACCCTTCCCTAAGCAAAGCCCACACCAGTCCAATCCTCTGTGGGACCCCAGGCTTACCATCTGAGTCCTTCTGATTTGGATTTGGTACCAGGCGACAGTTATCAGGACCAGGAGGCACATAATCTGGGACACCATCATTGTCATCGTCCACATCACACTCATCTCCAAGTCCGTCATTGTCTGAGTCCAGCTGGGAGCTGTTGGGCAGCTGTGGGCAGTTGTCCTTTGTGTCCTGATGTCCATCCCCATCGCTGTCCAGAAGAACAGGCACC